TTTTTTTTTGGGTAGAAGAAAATGTTTTGTTTTTTCTATTTTTTCATTTTCTTTGGGGGGGGTGGGGGGTGAAATTGCACCGACCGGGCGTTTGAGCTACCGACCCCCGAAAGTCGCGGCGCGTTAACGGCCGCGACTTTATTTTATAGCTGGGCAAGGTACTGGTGGTTTAATAGTTCTCAGATTGTTCTTAGCCGAAGCCAGGTAATGGCCCTGGTATTTCAAATGACTCGTATGATTCTATAAGGGATGTGGGGCCCGGTTCCCAGCACGTGTTGCTCCCCACGAATAGACTGGAGCATTTGTAAATTAAAAAGAAAAAGAAAAACATAGGAAAAAAAAAGAGGTAATCTCAGCATGATGCTCTAGACAGCTTGCATAAAGTAGACAGCATCATCATAGGCCTCTCTCATTTTTCACGGCAGAGAATGAACCTAGTGGCTGAACATTGTCTGCCGGAACAGCAAACAGAGATAGCCGGCTGCTGGCGGTCAGGCCTAGTTCAGTTGGTAAGGCACAGAAGTTGCATTTAACAAAAAAAAAAAAAAAAAAGAGGTCGTGAGGTCCCCGTTGGCCTCACGTACGTGCCTGGGCAAGCTTGGTGTTCTACTCCCAAGCCAACATTGGCAGGACCTTGGCTGATGTTTTTGGTTGCTATGCAGCAACAATATTGGCCATTAGACACCGCCATGTGGGGTTGGGGGGAGGGGGGGTAGGAGGAGGTGCAGTGACTGTCTGCTCGGCGCTAGCACCGCTGATTTCCCCCATCAGCAATGCCTGCCCACCGCTCATCACTGTGACGAGGGACTGGTACAGCCTTGCTCTTGCACCACTGCTGTGGTGCCAACCTAACCCATGGGCTAGGGAGAGATCCGGGTTGGTTGGTGTTCCCCCGTACTATACATAGACTAGCGAGAGGATGAGATAGACGAGTACTGGCAAGAAGATGAGATAGATGAGAGAAGAATTTTCCGTTCGACCAAGGAACAATAAAAACCTTCACAGAAACGCAGTCCTGCTTTCCTTGGACTTTCCCAAAAAAACTGCCATGATCTGGGGGGTGGCTCGATGTCACCAGTGGCCGAGAAGTCAGCATTGAGCTGGCTCAATGGTGCATATGGGACTTGGCCCCAGGGGGTCCCATCACAAAGAGCCAAGATTCTTCTTCCCGGTCAAAAACAAACAAAAAAACAAAGGGGAAAAGGCATACCAAGATCGGAATGACGGCATACTCAGGGCTTTTTCACGCAACGGTGTCATAGCAACAAAATCTGTGAATTTTGCTATCCCGATTTTGCTGAAATGCCACCACACCGAGTCACATAGCGGCAGCAAATCACAAAAGACACGAGCCGGACTTTCTGGCAATTGCCAAAATGGTACCTCGCATGGCCACATAGCGCGAGGCCCAAATCCTTCCACTTTTCTTTTTTCAACGAAGTTCGTTCACAAACTCTGGAACTGAAAAGAAAATTTGCTGCCACCTCCAGAGGTGCTAGCAAAATGCCCTTCCCCGTGGCCCTCCAGGCAGCTGACATTTGATACCCTGTTTGCTGTTTTTGCTACTTTCCCTGCCTCGTGCGACTGCCCAACCATCAAATTTTAGCTATTTTGCCGTAAAAGGCCCTAGTGTGAGTAGGCCCTCACACTGCGAAATATGCAGATTTGGGAAAGGTGGATTTGAGGTTTTGGGCATGGTTCGGGTCGCACTGCTGTACCTTTCCGGATGGGACAGGGCCGTGGCCGTCTGGAGAAATAGTCATTTGGTACTTCGCTGGTCGCACGGTGCCATCCACAAATTGTGCAAGAACTTTTGTGAACGAATTTTCACAGACTTTTGAAGAAAATGCTAAAAAATAAATAGGGCATTTGCGGTCACCTCCAGTGGTGACCGCAAATACCCTTGCCCCGCGGCTACCCAGGCCGCTGACAAATGGGCACACGAATAGTGCATTTAGGACTTTGGGAAATCTGTGTAACCGGCCCTCTACATTTTTTGGGGCGAATTTGGGATTATAGGTCCAAGTAGGAGTATGCCCTGGTGGTCCAAGTAGGAGTATGCCCTGGTAGCCACGGGGCAAGGCAATTTGCGATCACCTCTGGAGGTGGCTGCAAATGCACTATTTATTTTTTCGCATTTTCTTCAAGAATTGGTGAAAATTCGTTCACGAAAGTTCTTGCAGGATTTGTGGATGGTGCCCTGTTACCAGCAAAGTACCAAATCGCCATTGCTCCAGACAGCCAGGGCCTTGTCCCATCTGAAAAGGTACAGCAGTGTGACCGGAACCATGCCCAAAACCTCAAATCCGCCCTTCCCAAATCTGCATATTTTGCGGATTTGGGGTCGCAGCGTGAGTATGCCGTGAGATTGCCTTGAGATTCATCCGCAGAGGGGCATAAGTGCGGTCAGATACATTCGGAGAATGAATGCCCTCAAATAGAAAGTGCTGGCAGGCACTCCATTGCTCCCTGTCTCTCACAGGGGGGAGTCACATCTGAAGCAGGCGAGATTCCTCTTCTAGAAAAAGGAAAAAGGAAAACAAACGAAAAAAGTAGATACTCGCTCATAGGTTTATTGCCTTCAGATTCACCCAGGGCTGGCTATAACTGCGGCCAGATATAGGGCCTCGGCACACCACTCCCAAGTTCTAGAAAATTTTTGGGAGTGCTCCCGAACGTGAAATCCTGCTCACCAAGTCTGAAATGACAGTTGGCACATCCGAACATGTGTGAAGCAGTCTGACAGAAGTATGTTTGTCCGTTTGAGCTCCACTCCCGAATCTGGGATGGAACTCGGAGGGACAAAGGAGCTCTCCCGAAAATGCAGGTTTGCAGGCAGTCAATTTGTGAGTGCTCTCGAGAGCCACATTCTCACAGCTCCCGAATTGGATCTGACAGATCGAATTCAGCAGCTGGTGTGGCGACTGCACTTATGCGCCACCTGCAAGGCATAAAGGAACGGGCCCCTTTTCCTTGGGCCCACCGGCTTCCCCCCCCGCTGCACTATTGGGCCTTCCCTGACCCCTGAAAGTTGCGGCCATATACGAGCCACATATTTGTTTTTCAAGCTGGGAAACGTACTGGTGGCTTGTTGTTCTTTTTTTCCCAAAAAAACAGCCTCCGCCTAATAGAAGGGGTGGTAGGAGCAAGCCCTGCGACTAGGGTGGCGTTGGTCACTCCATTCTATACGTGGGGACTAGGGAGCTTCACCTGCTGGAAATGAGGTCCAGCGTCCCATTGAAACAGATAAAGATTTGAGATCCTGCGACACGACACCCTGCCAACATTCATTGCCCCAGCTGACCGGGGGATTTTTTTATTTTTTTTTTGTGAAGGCCAGTTACCAGGCACACATTGATCGCCGGAAGCGGTCAGCGGTGGTCACCCTGAGGAGACAAGGTGACCTCCCATCCTATCCTCGCATCAATACTCCTAGCGCATCCCCTATCCCTACTATGCTACCTTAGTGTGACCAGCACTCAGGACCATCACCCTACCAGTATCGAGGGGAACTTGGGCCGACAGGGGTGGCTTAGCAATCTGCTTCTTCTGCCCTGCTACACGACACCAAACATATAAAAAAAAGCATCCTAGCAGCACTACTAACCCATAGGGCATAGCAGCTTTTCAACCCCCATACCAAGCCATATCAACCACAAAAAGGGCACTCGGGGAAAGGGGTCCGGGAAGTCAGATGGGGTGCGCATGGGGGTTTCTCCGCCAGTCTTAGAGCATTCATGGAAGATCGGCCTGTAATCTCATATGAGGTTTGGCCGATCCTCCCGACCTCCAGCCCACTTCACTTTAGTCATCGACCCCCCCCTGTTCCCCACCCACCCCACCCAGCGAGTCTTGACGGTATTGTTTGATATTCTTTTGAATGTCTGCTGGGAAACTTTTCGCAATGCCCCTGAAATTTGCGTTTATGTGCGGTTCGCCCCTCTGACGGCCGACTTACCCTGATTCGCCCCTCTGACAACAATTCAAGCTTCCAAAAAAACCCTGGCGTCATTTGGGCCTGAAATATGTTCAATATGCCCCTACCGGTACTGGTGCCAAATATCCAGTATGCCCCTACCGGATA